GAGGAGGGTGTGAGGCAGCATCACGTGTACCTTTAAAACTGGAGCTTTCCTGATAACGAGCAAGGGAAACAGCCCGAGTTTTCACCAAGAAGGACATTATAAAAATACATTTTGGATGAAATTTGTAGCCACTGAAAATTGTTTTTGAAGAATGTTGAATGACATGGAATTACTTATGATACAAGAAGTAGAAAGAAGCCCGATCAGTGTGGCTTAGTGGCTGATTGACGACCTATGAATCAGGAGGTCATGGTTTGATTCCTGGTCAGGGCACATGCCTTGGTTGCGGGCTCGGTCCCTAGTATGGGCATGCAAGAGGCAGCCAGTCATTGATTGTCTCTCATCATTGATGTTTCTCTATCTCCTCCCTTCCTCTCCGAAATCAATAAAAATATGTTTAAAAAAAAAAGAAGTGAAAAGAAGAAAATAAAAAACTGAACATCAGCAAAATGGCCCCAGTTTTCTTCACAGTTACCAAAGCACACATGGCAATGTGGACGTTGGGCAGAGTGGAAGAAGGATGAGTGCACCTGGTAACCACAGGGCAGGGCGTTGCAGGAGGTTCTGGTTCCTCATTTCTTGTTTTCTATCATGAACAAAACGAAACCCTAGTTGTCTTGTGTCTGCTTGATCGGGGTGCATCATGACGACTCCTCGTGGAGATGGGCTGCTCTGGTGTCAGGTGGCCTGAGTACAGAGGAGGGAGACAAGGAAGGCTCTATGGGCTGAGGGTGGGGGGCCGGGCGGAGGTGGTTTGATCGCGCAGCGAAGTCCCAGGCCACACTCCGGCATCCCTGTTAACTGTGTTTGGGAATTGACCTGGAATCGGCCACATTGGTGGGAAGGTGAAGCTGAAGGATCCTTTGAAGTTGAAGTTGTTCACTGTGTGAGGTGTGGCCTTCTCCTTCCAATTGAAAAGTTGGAAGAATACGGCCCATGGTGTACAGCCCTCCGTGGTCACTGTGGGAGTGAAGCCCAGAGGGTATGTGTGGAGCCGGAGGCACTGGGGTGTGCCAGCCTCTGCCCTGGGCACTCTGGGAGAAATCACTCCTCCGCCGGCCTCGGGGGCCCCATCCGTAAGGTGGGAGTGGGCCACACCTGCAGGGCCCCTTCCCTGATGGAGGGGGACAGAACAATGTCCCCAGCCAGGAGCTGTCTGTGAACTCGGGCTGTTGCTTCTTCACAACCTTTTCTCTAACATCCTTCAGTTGCATTTTGAAGCAAAGTTGTTTCTTTGCTTTTGCAATAATAGATACAGTACTAGTATGCTATGCGTCTGTTTGAAACGAGTGATTATAACCAGTTCACGAGTCCCGAACTGTGATAATGTCATTAAAACAGGCATTGATGCAGCTGTTGGTGTTGGGATGCTCCCCAGGCCATCACAGTGTGTCTGACTTTTGCCTGTGATTGTGATACATTATATCTAGGGAAGGCAGAGGAAAGCACACCCCATTACAGCCTACAGGCCCACCCCCCACGATTGCAAACAAACTTTCTTTCCCCTAAGGAGCCACAGTTTGCCTTCAGGTTAGAGCAGTTATTTCTACAGCCTCCTGCATTGCCTGTATGTCCAGGGGCATTTGTCATTTCTCTTGCTTATCCACTCACAGATATTCTATATAATAAAAGCCCAGTGACCGAATGGCAGGACGACCAGAACAAACAGTCGACTGGTCACTATAATGTGCACTGACCACCAGGGGGCAGATGCTCAATGCAGGGGCTGCCCCTGGTGGTCGGTGCACAAGTGCACAAATCCTGTGTACTGGGCCTCTAGAATATATATATATTAGAGGCCCAGTGCACGAAATTCGTGCACAGGTAGTGTCCCTAGGCCTGGCCGGCAATCAGGGCTGATCTGTGGGGCAACTGGCGGGGCAATCAGGAGGCCCCCGCTGGCATCCACCTTGGCTGGCCTGGTGCCACCCGCTCACTGGCCCTGCCCCCTGCCGCTGCTGGTTGCCTCCCTTTGCAGGGTGACTGGTGGGGTGATGGGGGAGGGGCCTGCTGGTACCCACCTTGGCTGGCCTGGGGCCTGCGGGCTGGGGGCAGCTCCTGCATTGAGCATCTGCCCCCTGGTGGTCAGTGCACATCATAGTGACTGGTTGTTCCACCGGTCATTTCGTCATTCAGTCAATTTCCATATTAGGCTTTTATTACATAGGAGATACACACACACACACACACACACACACACACACACACACTCATACTCTAGAGGCCCGGCGCATGAAATTCGTGTGCAGGTATGGTCCCTAGGCCTGGCCTGTGATCAGGGCCATCATCCCTGCCCCCGCCACCACTCACCCCCGGTTCCCCATTCGCCATTGGGTGATCAGTGCCTGACAGCCAGGGGAAGGGACTGAGAGGTCAGCTGTTCCGTCCACTTGCTGACCCCGCCCCTGCCGCGAGTTGCCCTCTGTGTGTGGGGCGACCGGCGGGGTGGGTCTTGTCCTGGCGCTGCCCGCTTCCCCCGCCACCCACCCCCAGTTCTCTGTTTGCCATCAGGCTATCAGAGCCTGCTGGCCAGGGAAAGGGACCGAGAGGTGGTCAGTGGTCTCATAGTGACTGGTCCAGCGGTCCTTCTGGTCATTCTGCCATTAGGGTCAATTTACATATTACCCTTTTATTATATAGGGGGATATGTATATGTAAATATGTTTTTATTGATTTTAGAGAGAGAAAGGAAGGGAGAGGTAGAGAAAGACATTGGTGTGAGAGAGAAACATTGATCAGTTGCCTCTTGCGCACCCAATCTGACAGGGAATTGAACCTGCAACCTGGGCTGTTGCTGTGACTAGGAGTTGGATCCGGCGACCTCTCGGTGCATTGGACAACACCTGAGCCACACTGGCTGGCTCGCAGATGCTTTCAGTGCCTGAGAGGCTGTGTTCCCTGCTTAAGGTCACATCACTCTGGCAGGACCTGTGATCCCTTTCCTGACCTTTGTTCTAACGACAGGCAATTTGCCAACAGCATGTGTTTACTTATACTTTTACTTCATTAGTTTTTATTATTTTATTTTATTTTTTATGAATGGAACTGAGATTTATTGAGAAAAGCCAGCCCTAGAAAGGGTGTCTTACTTCATTAGTTTTTACCCACACTGCAGTTTCATGAATATTTATTCTTTAAATATTTCTTTAACTTTCTGTGGATGTACCTTTTTAATCAACAAAGCATCTGCTAATTAGAGTATATACATCAACTGCCATATTACCAAGGGTGACATTGGGTGTTAAGTGTGGGTACTGCTAAGGCTCATTTGGTCCTTGTCCCACCATGCTGACTCTTGGTGTCCCGAAGGGAGGAGCAGGCTCCCAGGGGGACGGATGAGGGAGTGTGATGAGTGAGAGGTGGGTTTGGGAGGACGGCATCAGGGAATTCACCATGTTTTCTCTTCTGCGGGCTCCCGCAGAGTGTGGACCGGAGTAGTGGCTGGGCAGTCCCCGAGCCCTACCCCAGCTCTGGTGGCCCTCATGGCTGTCTCCAGCTGCTGCCTTGCCGGCCTAACAAGCTCCCTGGTTTGGGGGATTTCCACAGCCTGGTTTTTGTTTTGTTTTTGTAATTTTAGCATGGTTTACTTTAAAGGGGATGTTAGTGGGCATAAAGGTGGTTCTTTTGGATCAAGCCTTGTAGGTGTGAGTCCAGGGAGAGGCCTGTTGTTTCTTGATGACCTGATGGGTGTTGAAGGAGCCAGAGCCCAGCACCTTCAGAGGCTCTTCTCAGCCACCGGTCAGACTCAGGAGGGTATGACGCCCACAGGACGCCCTCGCCCTGGCTTTTCCTTTCCCAAGGGCACCCTTTCCAGCTGTGCCTGAGGGGAGGACGGGCTTGGCCAGTGGTGTGCTGAGGCCCCACCAGAGGAAGAGTGCAGGTTCTCCTCGAAGCTCCATCATTGATTGTCATGGAATTAAATGTGAACTTAGACACTTGTGTTATGTGTCTGATGGCGTCTGTGCTATGATTGCTGCTGGTTTTTGAAGCTAAAATTAATGCTAAACCTGCATGATTGGATTTGCTTTCCAGTGATGGAGTTCAAGCATGGGCTGTGTGAGTGGTTGTCTCTGTCTGTCTGTGTTGTGAGGCCCCCTTTTGGTCAGCCATGGGCACCTTGCTGCCCACACCCAGAGAGGTGAGGTGCCTGGGTGCCACAGGGTCCATGTGCTGGAGGGGAAGTTTGTTTGGGGTTTCTCAGGACAGGCCCCAGCTGCCCCTGGTCACAGGACCAGTGGGGGCAGGATGGAGGGAACTGTGCTAGGCAGTGCTGGGGTCTGTGGCTCCAGCGGGATCTCTGACTTCTCTTCGACACCACCACCTCCTGAGCACTTGGCAATCTGTCGGGGAGAGTGTGTGCCTGTGGGGACTCTGCCAGGCCTTTGGCGCCCCCGCCGGCTTCCTCTGGAGTTAGGTGCATGCCGAGGCCAGTGTGGGGCAGCTGTGGGTGGCTGTGGGGCGACAGTGGGGCTGGCAGAGCCGTGGCACTTGGCTTACAGAAGGAAGGCTCGGTTGCTTTTTTTTTAAAATATGTTTTTATTGATTTCAACCTGGCTTCATGGCTCAGTGGTTGAGCATCAACCTATGAACCAGGAGGATAGGGTTTGAATCCTGGTCAGGGCACATGCCCAGGTGTGGGCTCTATTCCCAGTAGGAGGGCGTGAAAAAAACATTGTTCGGCTGTCTCCTGCACGCCCCACACTGGGGATTGAGCCTGCAACCTGGGCATGTGCCCTGACCGGGAATCGAACAATGACCTCCTGGTTCATAGGTCCACACTCTACCACTGAGACACACTGGCTGGGCGTCAGTTGGTTGCTCTTTGAATCATGAAACTGCCCTGTGCGTGTCCTCATCCTGTGCACCGTCTGGTAGGCATGTCAGTCAGAGGCCGGTGACTCCGTGTTTCACCACCGGTCCTGTTTCTCCTCAGAGCTGCTAGGCCTCCCCATAGAGCCACTGCTTCCCGGGCTCTGACGCCAGATGTCCTTTGTCCCCAGGTATGGTCCTCGTGCGCAGCGAGAACGGGCAGTTGTTAATGATCCCTCAGCAGGCCTTGGCCCAGATGCAGGCCCAGGCCCACGCCCAGGCCCAGCCTCAGACCACCATGGCACCCCGCCCTGCAACCCCCACAAGTGCCCCACCTGTCCAGATCTCCACCGTCCAGGTGAGTCATGCGTACACCCTGCACCTGCCAAGGGCGTGTGGCAGGTGTCCTGCCCCACCACCGGGTGGCTAACCCTGGCGTCCAGGACAGCCCTGCTGGGAAGAGCTGGCTCTGAGTCCCTGAGAGCTGCCTTCTCTCCATGACTCCACCTTCCCATGCCTCAGTTTCCTCTCCTGTGGAGTGGACAGTGTGCTAGTGCTTGTACCACAGAGCTGGGTCCCAGGCTGGGCGGAGACGTGCAGTGCTAAGCTAGTGGGCAGAGCAGGTACTGCGTGAGCGCGGGCCTTCATCAGGGAGGCACAGAGGACTTGGCACACTTGCATTGAGCAGAGCTGCCTCCCCACGCACAGGCACTGGAGGCTGGCGGGAGGCAGGCTCCGATGCTGAAGAGCAGGCAGGGCTTGCCCCCGTCTGGGTTCCGTGTCTGTGTCATGCTTTCCTGTGGGCACGTGTCCGCACTGTCCTATTCCCTCTGTCTGCGGGGCTTTCCTGTCCACTGCGTCTTCCTCTGTTCTAAGCTAGTGAGTGGCTAGTGACTGAAGCGGAGACCTCCTTCTCCGTGATGCCAAGCGCGTACCCTGGGTGGCGCCCTGCACTGCAGCAGCGGCTCTGTGTGCTGGGAGACCCACAAGGGCCCCTTTGCTGAGTGGAACGGCTCAGTTTCCCAGTCTGTTCTGTTCAGTGTGAGGCAGACGTACGGTATCTGTGGTCTCACTTTAGCTGTTGGCTGTGCATATCACCGTGTGACCATCAGCATTTGCTGTCCATCTCCTTTCAAACCAACTTCATCATTTCCTTGCTTAGGACTCGCGCTTCCCAGGGGGCTAGTGTGACTGGTCTTAGACCCAGGGGACACGTACTTCTTAGTGCCGTTGTCACTCTTTAGTGCTTGTGGGCAAGATCACAGAAGTCCTCACAGGACCACTCCCAGGTACATGTGTTTTTCAAGGACCATGCTGATTGGATAAAGAAGTCTAAGGCATTTTCATTGTAGTAGCAACGATGGGGAGCCTGCACTTTTACTTTGGAAACAGACATTTAGAATTAGGGTGGCTCTGTGGAAACTGCGAGTGAACTTGTGGATGCACTTGAGCACTGGTTCTGTGTTCTGGATTGCTTTGGGTGCACGGGGTGGCGGGGAATTTTCACGCTGTTGCCCCTTTTAGATGGGTCTTGCTTGTTTTCCAGGCACCTGGGACCCCAATTATTGCCCGGCAGGTGACCCCGACGACCATAATTAAGCAGGTGTCTCAGGCCCAGACGACGGTACAGCCGGCCGCCGCGCTGCAGCGCTCACCCGGAGTGCAGGTGAGGCCCGGCGTCCTGCACGCAGGGACCAGGCACGGACTTGGGTGTGGGACTCAAGGCAGAGTTTTGGGAGGAAGGTGTAGAAAAAGGGGGTTCTTCTCTGACGAGAGCACAGGCTGTGGCTGGGTCCCTCTTCCTCAAAGCCGCATGGACTTGAGCACCAGCAGCACTTTTAAAGCTGCCCCTGCCGGAGAGGAAGGAAAGGGTCACCTGATCAGTATTTGGTTGTAAGGCATCTCTGGAGCAGGGAAAGCCTAGGGCAGAGAGTCTGTGTGTGCACCTGTCTCCCGTGAAAGCGCCGATGGTGGCAGTGCTGTCGTTGACTGTGTCTCAGGTCTTACTGTGTGTCCTTATCACAGCGATGGGCTGTGATGCTCTCGACAGCTCAGCCTCTGGTGTCCCGGACAGGCTGGCCCTTCCCGTCACAGCAGAGGAGACCTGGCTGGGGCCAACAGGCCAGAGTGTCCAAAGCAGATGGCTCAGGCTGCGGGGTGAGGTGTTGGTGAGCGTGCACTGTGAGTGCAGGTGCTGCACCGTTGGCCAGGTTTTACCAGGTGTCTTTGTGGCCCAGGGTGACTCTTTGCTGCGTTGCTGGTCTGTGTTGATCCCCATGGCAGTTGGTACTATCCTGTTTTTCCGAATGAGGAAACCACAGCCCAGAGGTGGCGGGGACAGTGGTGGTAGAGGGTCTGGAGCAGCCCAGCACCACACTCTTCCCCACTGGATCTTGTCTTCTCTTTCTTACCTGTGGCGTCTGCAGTGAGTGGCAGTGTTGTCTGAAACACGGGAAGGGTTGTCCAGGTGTGGGGGACTTTCCAGGATGCAGGCTTCAGCCTGGGCTTCTGTCTGGTTGGCGCATCTGATTCTACATTTTGCGAAAGGGTTTCCAGAAAGCAGGAGGCATGGTCAGCTTGGCATCCGCTTCTCTGCAGTCTGGACGTGTCTCGTGAGTGGGAGTTGGTGGGGCCAGCAGGAGCAAATGTGGGGACAGGCCCCTGTGTGAAGGAAGGAAGCCCCGCTGCCCCGAGATGGCAGCCATGGTTTGCTCCTTCTTTCCTCCCTGAGATTGGAGTTTGATGTTTGCTGGCGACAACAGTGATGACTCATGCTTCATGTTACAAGCGAGAGAAGACAGACTGACTGTAAAGTCCGTCACTACCTGCAGCTCCCAGGCCTCCCCAAAGCTGGTGTCCACAGCCTGGGGCCACTGGGATACCCGAGAGCTTGGAGGGGTCCATACAGGGACTGCGTCGGCTCCCTAATGGGTACTAGGCCACACCGGAGGCATGCGCAGGGGTTGCACTGCCCCTACTTTCAGAAGTCGTAAGAAAGGGACATTTTAAAAATTGGAGGGAAAATGTTGAAAGCTAGATTATAAATTGGAGGACCAGTTAGAAAGCCAGTTAATGTTGGCATCATGACCCTGCTGCAGAACCATGGTCGGTCAGGAGCCTGACCTCGGGTGAGGCTGGAGCTGCTGTCCATTCATTCTGCAAGGGGCCTTCCTCACCGACTCCCACCCATTTCTCCTGTTGCTCCCCAGCCGCATTAGTGATACTTCATGATGAGACTCTCTCTTGAAGTGCAAGGAAAAGGCCGGTCTGGCGGCAGAAGGGGCCAGGACCCCAGCCCACTCCCCTCCCAGAGCCGCCTTGCAGGAGGGCTGACTTGTCACCAGGCTCTGTGCAGACCAGGTGGTGACATTTCCCATTGCAGTTAGTTTTTGAACTTTCTGAGGATGAGACCTAGTTTGCTTATTAAAAGGCCATTGGTACTGGTCACCATGTGACTTCCAGAATCCACTCCAGAGCACCAGGTTCTTCAGCGATTGGCTGTTTCTGTCAGTTTTTGCTGGAGATGCACCATCCTGCTTCTCAGGTGCTGAGGACAGCAGTGCTCAGGCTTGGCCTGTCGCTGTGTCTGCAGGTCCTCGGGGTGCGTGTCCCCCAGCACACCTGGCCAGCGGGGCCCCACCCCTACAGGGAGCTCTCTTCTCAGACCTAAGGCTGCTGCCTGCAGCCTCTGTTTACCTTGTGTTTTGGAATCTTGCAGCCTCAGCTTGTTCTGGGTGGTGCTGCCCAGACAGCTTCGATTGGGACGGCGACAGCTGTTCAGACGGGGACACCTCAGCGGACTGTCCCGGGGGCCACCACCACCTCCACAGCTGCCACGGTGAGTGCCGTCTCGTGCACCCCTCAGGTGGGACAGCGTGTGTAGAGGGCTCCCCATGGTGACAGGCCCAGACAGTAGTGTTTGAAGCAGTCCTTCATGGACTGTGTGCATTGTGTCTATAGAACAGCACTCTTACCCATTTGGGTTTACACTTCAGTAGTTCCCTGCATGTGCATAAATCTTCAAACTGGGATCCCGCTTTATTTATGGCTTTTTCCAGTTTCTTTGCTAAGTAGTTCCGTCAGCGTTAGTAGTTGTGGTGCACTGTAACCCTTTCACTGTGCATCGGGGAGATGCCAGTTCTTCTTTGTGATGAACAGCATGCAGGGACCATCTGATGGAGTCACCTTTTCACCTTTGTGGTTTTCGCCTTGTTACGTTTCAAGGGAGGGAATTGGCAGCTGAGGGAAGTGTGAGCCGGGCCTCTTTTGGTTGTATGGCCAGGTGTCCTTGGGCACGCTCCTTGGGCACCTGCCAGGGCCATGCCCTACCAGCAGGCTAGGAGAGCACTTAGAGAAGAAACAGTTCTCAGGGTGATGATGGGCATTTGCCTGTAAGACTTTCTCACAGGTGTCTTTTTACTTGAATGCAGGAAACTATGGAAAACGTGAAGAAATGTAAGAACTTTCTGTCTACGTTAATAAAGCTGGCCTCATCCGGTAAACAGTCCACAGAGACGGCGGCGAACGTGAAGGAGCTGGTGCAGCACCTGCTGGTAAGAGCTTCGCCACCAGCCCTGTCCCGCATGTGACACAGCAGCCTGTCCTGGGATCTGCAGAGCCTTCCCCTGCGGGGCTTCCTCCCCGAGGCTTGGGGCCTCAGGGGGAAGTGTCGTCCCTGAGGACAGGTGTCCCTGACCCCTCTGTGCCTGTGCTCGCAGCTCTGACTGTGCCAGTGAGGTTCCCGCAGGCTGGTCTGGCTCCTGGCAGTGTTGAGTGGCAGCTGGGTGAGGGAGATCGGGCGTGGGCTGGTCAGCACACACCTGGGATGCCCATATCGCCTGAGCACGGGGCACACTGACTCTCCTGTTGCCTCTGTCAGCCCAGACCTGGCAGAGAGACCAGGAGACCGGAGTAGCACTGCCTCAAGAGGAGTGTGTGCGCGAACTTCCAGTCCTGCAGGAATTTCATGTGAGTTTTATTTTTAAGGATGGAAAAATCGAAGCGGAAGATTTCACCAGCCGGCTGTACCGGGAACTTAATTCTTCACCTCAACCTTACCTTGTGCCTTTCCTGAAGGTAACGGCAAAGCCCTTGTCCACCTCCGTGCTGTTCTGAGGGAGGCATGGGCACAGTTGGCACCTTGTGTTGAAAGCCTAAAGCGCCTGCAGCAGAATGTGCGGTGCCCTCTTAGATCCTTTTCTGGGAGTTGGACCTCAGTACTGCTGGCATTCGGGCGTCCCACTCCAAGCACAGGGCCGACCCGCGGATTGTCCGTGAGCGTGAGGGCTGATGGGACACCCACCCCAGCGAAGACCCAGGGTTCCACAGCAGCAGTAGTCCCTTAGGTAATCTCTGGTGCCACAGCATTCTTAGAGCATTTCAGAAGTGCTGCTCTATCTTTCTGGGCTCAGGGTCAGTGACTGCTGGAGGCTGCCACCCACACCAGAGGTATCTCTAAGCTCTGAAACCGACACTATTAAAAAAAAGTTTGTATTTATTTTAGAGAAGAGTGGAAGAGGGAGCGATAGAAACCTGAATGAGAGAGAAACATCATTTGGCTGCCTCCTGTATGCCCCCTATTGGGAATTGAACCTGCAAACCCGGGCGTGTGCCTTGACTGGAATCCAACCTGTGGCCTCTTAGTGCAGGGGAGCACACTCAGCCCACTGAGGCACACTGGCTGGCAAACCGGCACTTGAGCTCAAGAACTTTCCCTCAGAATGGGGTGTATCTGAGTTTCAGAGAGGGGACCCCATGCTGTGCTGCCTGCCAACCCTGTGTTTGTGTTCACCCAGAGGAGCTTGCCCGCCTTGAGACAGCTGACGCCTGACTCCGCAGCCTTCATCCAGCAGAGCCAGCAGCAGCAGCCGCCTGCCCCGCAGGCCACCACTGCGCTCACAGCCGTGGTGCTGAGCAGCTCCGTCCAGCGCACGGCCGGGAAGACGGCGGCCACTGTGACCAGCGCTCTCCAGCCCCCTGTCATCAGCCTCACGCAGCCCACACAGGTTGGCGTTGGCAAGCAGGGGCAGCCCACGCCGCTGGTATGCAGGCGACAGCCCCTTACCCCTGCCCGCCTCTCAGCTCAGGGAGCCTGCAGGACAGCCTTGGGCGTTAGCTTCCATGGTTAAGCCAGCAGCCTGGGCCCCACAATTCTGTGATTCATTCCTCAGTAGCATGAAGTTAGGGTGTTGGCTTTCACCCACTGTCCATCCAGCACCTGTATCGGGGGTGATCCTGGCTTACAGGGACATGGTGAGTTTATAGTGACTCTTAGCTGGATATTACCTTTGATTGGGAGCAATGGTTCACATACAAGAAATAGACAGTGTGTGCTGGTGTTGGACGAGCAGGCGGCTGTGTGAGCCTTTGTTGCACAGTGTGGGCCTGGGTGTGCAGCGAGTCTGGGCCTCAGTGGCTCCAGGAGCGGGAGTGGCAGGCTGCTGTCATTCGTTTACTGCCAGTTTGGATTCCGTGTTCTGAGCTTTGCAGCTGGAGAAAAGCTGTCTTTGCTCCCATAGGCAGATTGGGGGCCTTTAAAAAGAATTTCAAAGAGATTTTGTTTCTCTAAAGCCAGTTACAGAAAAACACAACCCAGACTTCATGGCATTTAGTAGTGTGTTTTGCAACATGGTAACCCAGAGGGCGATGAAATCCACGCGGGGCTCTCTCACCTGCACAGGTTAGAACCTGCGTGGTTTTGGCCTGGATCGGTGGTGAGGAAGCAGGCTGACCCCGTGGCGGGCGGTTGTGAGTAGTGTCAGGGCCGGAGGTGCCCATGTGACAGCTCCACGCTCCTTTCAGTCCGAGGGGCAGACTTCCTTTCCTTTCATGTGGCGCAGGTACAGAGCTGCCCTGTTTGGCAACCCCTAGGGCTGATTTCCACAAAAGCTGGCTTCTCTTGAAGAGAGCCTGATGGGAAGCCATTTGTTCTCGGAGATTGACCTTTGGTGCGAGTGTGTGGGTGACGCCACCGGTGTTCCCTGGCTTTAGACAGAGGCTGTGTCGACCAGCAGGGACCCTTTTGCACTCAGCTTCCCTGGGTTCTGTGCAGATTCGTGTGTGTGTGTGTGTGTGTGTGTGTGTGTGTGTGTGTGTTTGTTGGGGCGGGGGGTGGTCAGCAGTGGGCAGCCAGACCCGAGTCTGACTGGTTTCCTTGAAGCTTGTAAATGTGAAAACTGGAAGCTTTCCCAGGTTCAGGCTAAACCTGACCTGAAGGCCCGAGGTGCGTCACTTTACTCATCCTGCACAGTGTGGGCTTTCACAGGTGTCGGTGCAGAAATAGTTTGATCCTAGGGTACCATCCTGTCCCCTCTGTGCATGCCCCAGAACACATCCACCAGGTTACCTTTGTAAAATTCAGAAACTGGATTTAAAAAAATATATTTTTATTGACTTTAGAGAGAAAGGGAGAGGGAGAGAGAGAGAGAAACATCAGTGATGGGAGAGAATCATTGATCGGCTGCCGCCGGCACACCCCACAATGTGGATCCAGCCCGCAACCTGGGCATGTGCCCTTGACTGGAATTGAACCCAGGACCCTTCAGTCCGCAGGCCGACACTCTATCCACTGAACCATACCGGCTAGGGCCAGACACTGGATTTTGAAACCCTCGGCCCCAGAGGTGTGGAGCGAGGCCACACGGACTGTAGCTGTGTGGCTTTAGAAGCGGCCACGGTGTCGCTTGGCCCCTGCGGGATAGTCGGTGCTACCAGGATTGGGAGTGCTGCCGTGTGGGAGGTCGGACCGAGGCTGGGTGCGGGAGAGGTGGGCGGCCTGGATAGGTAGATGAGTAAATGGGGAGCAGAGCCAGAGGTGAGCACGTGATCAGTGGCAGGAGTCTCAGGTAGACAGAGCCATGCAGGCTGTGCAGGAAGAGGAGCAGGCACACTGCCGGGCCGGGCTCAGGCCGTCTCAGGGACAGTTCAGGGCAGGACGTAGGAGATCTAGCCTCCCCCCAGTTAAAAGGCCACCTCACCTCTTAGAGAAAATGTGGAGGAGAAACAAAAACTTGACCTGTAGCCTCAGGTGGCCATATCACCTCCGCTGACTTGCGGGGGAAGTAGCCTCCCCACACTGGGTCTTAGGCCACCTACGTGCAGATCTGCCCTGAAGCTGATGTAGTCCTGGCAGCCTGACCTTGCCCTGGCCGGGCGATGGCAGGAGGATGGCTGGGGACAGCTGGGAACCCGGTGCTGTCAGTGCTCACGGGCACGTGGCTCTGCCTCAGGTGATCCAGCAGCCGCCCAAGCCCGGAGCACTGATCCGGCCCCCGCAGGTGACGCTGACGCAGACGCCCATGGTGGCCCTCCGGCAGCCCCACAACCGCATCGTGCTGACCACACCCCAGCAGATCCAGCTGAACCCACTGCAGCCAGGTGAGGCCGCAGTCCCGGGGGCACTCACTGAAGGTCCTATCTTCCAATTTTCTTACTGTTTTGGGACACACACAGCAAAAGTGACCATTTGAGCCGTTTGAGTGTCCAGGTCAGTGGCATTGACTACTCAGTGCGGTCAGCCTTCACCTGTCAGTGTGGTGCAACAAGTAAAGGCTTGGGAGCTGCCATTCAGCCTTTTACCTGTGGCTTAGGGTTAGAAACCCATTGCTTTTAAGGACTTCATTGTGGTGGGTGGAGGCACGCTCCCCGACTCTGCTGGGCACGGGCACAATGCACAGGCACCTGCATCGGGGTTCCTGGTCGCTTGTTTTGCAGTCCCGGTGGTGAAACCTGCTGTGTTACCTGGAACCAAAGCTCTCTCTGCTGTCTCGGCCCAAGCAGCTGCTGCGCAGAAAAATAAACTCAAGGAGCCCGGGGGAGGCTCGTTTCGGTAAGGAGTTCTGCTTGAGAAGCCATGTGATGGTCTTGAATAGCCCAGTCCTCTGAGGGCGTCAGTCCTCCGGGGTGCCTCACTCGCCCTGCTCTCAGCCTCAGCGCCCTCAGAATGTGGCTGGGGTCTCTGACGCGCAGCTCAGCCTGCTCGTGGTGGAGTTAACCTGTTGGGGCAGAGGAAGGGCTCTGGTGGTGACTGTCGTGATGGAGCCGTAGAAAATGTCTCGGGTCAGAAGGCTTTCATGGGACCTTCCCCCCCACAGCCATCAGATGGCTGGAGCCGGGCCAGTGTCAGCAGGGCGAGGGGCCATGTGCCTGGGCAGCCCAGCTCGTGGGCAGCGCCAGGGTGTGGGGAGGGGGCAGGTGCTGGAGATGGGAGGTAGGTCATTGCAGCTCAGAACTGGGAGCGGATGGAAGGTGGGGAAGCCTGGGCCTCTCCCTGGCAGGGAAGGGAAGGAAGGGAAGGGAAGGGAAGGGAGTCAAATGCAGAACAGAGCGAGCTGAGTGGACCTGTGGTGTCGGGTTGAAATGGGACATGGTGGCGTCACCTCCTGGTGCAGTGTAGACAGGTCTGAAGTAGCAGGTGGAAACTCCTCGCTCTGCCCACCCAAGGAGCCGGGAGCAGTGACACCTGGTGGTAGCAAGCACCCGGGCGCTCAGATCTCATCTTCTGACAACTGTTTTCCTGCAGTGACCAGGGTGCCTGGAAAAGGCCGGGTCAGGGGAAGTTGAAGTTGGCTCGGCGCATCTCCTTAGGTCAGAGAGCAGTGTTCAGGGTGGACGGGCAGGAGTCAGAGCTCACAGACAGAGGTCTTCAGAGTGGCCTCCCTCCTGCTGGCCACATCTGTAGGAACAGACTGTGCTCACAGCAGAGACAAGAAGCCAGGAGCCCATAAAATGAATAACTGATAGTTTATGAGGAATGGGACACCCAGTTTCAGAGCGCACACAGGTGCACACACACATAGGTCCTCACATCCAGCCACAGGGGGTGGGGGGCGCAGAGCACCCTGGTGGTGGGGAAGCCGGGCAGGGACCATGGTGCTGGAGCTTGGAGGACATGCTAGTAAGGGACCAGCAAGACTCAGGCCCTGTGGAGGTGGTGGACGTGACTTGTGTGAAACTTCTGCCAAAGATGCATCTTGCCATGAGCGGACATCAGTTAGATGGAAAACAAGGACGCACATTAAAACCAGTGGCCTGTGACCTAAGTGTGAAGGGCATGAGATCAAGGAAGGGCTTCGGAGCACTCCAGGCCTAAGGAGGCTGAAGACACTGAGTAAGATGCCAGACGTGCCTGTGAATAGGACCTCTGCTGTGGACGGCACTCCTGGGACAGTCCGCCGATCTGGGCGGGTCTGAGCGGGGCTGGTGATGCGACCTGGTTCTCTCAGGGGTGCCCTTGTCGGCGAGGACGCCAAGTAGGAGTGTCAGGTCGGCAGTGTACCCTCAGGTGGTTCAGGAAGGAGTTCTTCATACTGAGCTCCAGTTCTCCCCAGAGTCTGTGATTGTGTGATACATAAATTGATGCTCTTTTTCTTTTTCATTTTTAATCCTCACCCGAGGATATTTTTCCATTGATTTTAGAGAGAGTGGAAGGGAGAGGGAAAGACAGAAAAGTATTGATGTGAGAGAAGCACATCGATTGGTTGCCTCCTGCATAAGCCCTGACCAGGGCCCTGGCCAGGGAGGAGCCTGCAACCAAGGTATGTGCCCTTGACTGGAATTGAACCCAGGACCCTTCAGTCTGCAGGCCTATCCATGGAGCCAAACTGACTAGGGCAATGCTCTGTGACTTTTTTTTTTTTAAAGTAAAATGGGCACGGTTTTGTTTTTTTTAAATGTATTTATTTTTATTTTTTTAAATTTTATTTTATTCTTTGGTCCATAGGTCAGTGCTCTATCCACTGAGCCAAACTGGCTAGGGCAATGCTCTGTGACTTTTAAAAAAGAGTTCGATTTGGGGGAACTCCTCGAGCAGTGAGTAGAGTGTTGGGTTTTACTGTCTGAACTTGGCATTGACTGTTGGGGAGCCCCAGGCACACGTCCGTCCATATGCAAACACTCACGCCCACTTGACCCTGAATGGGTATTTCTTTCGAAGACCGGGATCACTGTCAAAGAAGACCCCTAAGCTTCCTCATTCAGGTGACAGCACCGAGCATGAGACAGATGGCGGACGCGTGCCTGGGGAGATGTTAGCCGTGCTTTCTCCAAGGCGTCCCCTGTTCCCTCCACCTGTTCATTGCCCCTAAGTTGGGACCACCTGAATGTGCTTCTGCTGCAGCCCATGCTCGGCACAGTCATCTGTTGTTCTTATCTGAAGGGATGATGATGACATTAATGATGTGGCGTCAATGGCTGGAGTAAACCTATCGGAGGAAAGTGCAAGGATCTTAGCCACAAACTCTGAGTTGGTGGGCACGCTTACACGGTCCTGCAAAGACGAAACCTTCCTCCTCCCAGCGCCTCTGCAGAGAAGGATATTGGAAATAGGTACGTTCCTGTTTCACGGCTGTCACAGGTGTCTGCGTCCCCACGTGGGTTTGTGGGCACCATGACTTTAGTGCTTGGTCGGGGTCAAGCTGCCCTTTCCAGCAACTCCCCACCACGGGTTTGCCTGTGTTGTACCTTCGACGAAGTCGGTGGTGATGGTGGTCTGCCTGGGCTGCCCCAAGGCTGCGTAAGGCAGCAAGTGGTGAGAAAGAAGTGCTTAAATGCGTGAACTATTGCCTGATCCCCAGGTAAGAAACACGGCATAACGGAACTGCACCCCGACGTTGTGAGTTACGTGTCCCACGCCACACAACAGAGGCTACAGAACCTCGTGGAAAAAATATCAGAAACGGCTCAGCAGAAGAACTTCTCTCATAAGGTAACGACGTGCTGTTCTCTGCACCCCGCGTCCTGCTGTCCAGCACAGGCAGGCAGCCCGCCGGCTTGTCCCAGGTCCCCTTAGAGCTCGGTGTGGGGAAGACCCACTTCCTGGCTGCACAGTGCTCTCAGGTGCTCTGTCCCGCAGGCTGGGGATGGAGGGGTTTGTGGCGGGGGCAGAGGTGGAGGTGACTTTCAGCTTGGGCATGATGGGTGGGGTCTGGCACCCAGTTCCCCAGGGGTTTCCAGCTAACCCCGCAGACGGGGGGCTCCAGTCTGCTCAGTGACTCGGAATATCACCCACTGTGCTTTGTTGAGGTTGCCTGCACCGAGGCCTGGCCTCCACAGCGGCGGTCAGCATGCATCCTTGCGCTCCAGCGAGTGCTGTCCCACAGGCACCGAGGAGCAAGATAGGCCGGCAGCAGCGCCTACCGAGCAGCTGTTAAAATGAAAGCACAGAGCTGCTTTACTCTGAAAATGTTTATGTTGCTATAAACGTGTTTAAATGTTACTTAAAAACAAACAAACAGCGAAGTGTAGAAAGTGGAAACTCCCCGTGAGCTCACCGCGCCTTTCCTTGTGTAAATGTGGGGGCACATTGAGTGCGGGGCCTGCAGGGTGGCACTGTGGGCACTGGACCGGGGAGGGGTGCAAACTGTTCAGCTGGGTTTCCAGTTGATCAAAAGACCATTTTTACCTTCTTTGTAGGATGATGACAGATATGAGCAGGCAAGTGATGTTCGGGCTCAGCTCAAGTTTTTTGAACAACTCGATCAGATTGAAAAACAGAGGAAAGATGAACAGGAAAGAGAGATCTTAATGCGAGCAGCCAAGGCAAGTGCTCCTGAGTATCCTGGGACGACAGATGCCCTCGGGGTTCCTAGGGCGCTGAAGCGGTGTTTGGGGTGCAATCAGGAATGGGGCTGGGGCACGAGGCCTCAGGAGCCATGGCACATGGGGCAGGGCACATTCTGGTGCCTGTCCTGTGTCCTACCCAGTCAGGTCCCTGTAACCAGCAGGCACATCAGAGGCTGTATCTTAGTTTTTATGTCCAAATCAGTATTGTTTTCTGAAGAATTATGTTTGTTTTATTTTCTGTGACATGCAACACAGATTTTCATCTTTTGGCTTTCAGCACTTAAACAGTGTGCCTCCTGCCACGACCTCGGTGTTGCCATGCCGTGAGCATTTAGGTCATAGTGTATCTTTCTTCTTTCCCTCTTTGAAAAATAGTCTCGCTCCAGACAAGAGGATCCAGAACAATTAAGGCTGAAACAGAAGGCGAAAGAGGTGAGGGTCTCTTGGGGTGGGAGAGCCTTCTCAGCTGCTGGGACCTGTCCCCGTCCCCCGAAACGTGCGTGGGAGTGGGTTAGTGATGGCGTTGGCGAGGCAGCATTTCTGTAGAAGCGTGAAGTGCTTGCCCAGGTGTCTCGGAGTGACTGCCCACTTCAGAGCTAGTGCACTTTCTCACCGGTGCGTTCCGCCTGTACTTGTATATTTGTCCTGAGCTTTGTGTGATGAGCACCACTTGGTTTGTTGTTTTTCTGATTGCAAAATAGCTTTCTGTTCAAAAAACGGTCCAAACATGAAAATAATTTTAATTTAGAAAATTTCTGCCAATCCCTTGTCTGTGAATCACTTTGTTGAGAGCAGGAAACACGCATGAGGTGACCATCCTTGTTACCTCTTCACACAGATGCAGCAGCAGGAGCTGGCGCAGATGAGGCAGCGTGACGCCAATCTCACCGCGCTGGCAGCTATCGGGCCCCGCAAGAAGCGGAAAGTGGACTCCCCGGGACCGGGCTCCGGGACAGAGGTACAGCAGCTTGTGGAGGTGGGGGCTTGAGGGGGCCGCGGGGCACCTGGCAGCTCACCCCTCGGGTAGTCAGACTCACGTAGGAGAATGGGCGTTCTCACATGCGTGGTTGACACTTTACATTAAAATCGACCTATTTGTGAACATCACAGGGGACGAGTTCTTTCCATAAGAAGTTTAGTCACATGGTTTAATACGATGAGATGAGACTGGCTTTGAAAAGAATATGGGCGATTATAACTGTCAGGGGAAGGGCCTTCACAGGAGAGCTGTTCCTACTGGATGGGACAGGGCTCAGCATAGGGGACGGTCACTCCCGGCGCCGTGTCAGTTTCCTGCTTTGTTTGTTGGCATATCTTCATATATAGTTAGAGATCGAACCTTAAAGAATGCTAATTTTGCTTTAAATTGTCAGTTGTTTTTAAGCTCAATTACAGGAAGAGAAAATGTCATCTCTGATTTGTCCCTACTTCTCCACTGTTCCCGGTGTTCTCTGTGCCCTCCTGAGGCCCGTTCTAGTGCAGCACTTACCTGGTCATTATAGGGTAGCGGCTGGCGGTGGAGGCCTTGCTTTTGAATCCTGAAAATGGTTGTATTTTTCTGTTTCAAATGTTTTCTCTAAGTATGAAATCCTGGGTTGACAGTCTGTCTTTTTCTGTCAACTCTTTTTAAAATTTAAGATTTAATTTCTCCTACATTCTTTTTTTTTTTTCCTCCCCTCCTTCCGCCCCTTTCCACAGAACAGCCTCTCCTACATTCTTGAATAAGCCGAGCAGAACCAGATATATGTCATTTAATTTTATAGAACAACAGACTAGAGGGATAAGTGAATCCAGGAATTAGCCATCCCTGACGTTTTCCCTGTTCTTCGGACCCCTCTGTTGCACCACTGGTTCCTTCCTTTCTAAGGAATGTCCCAGTGCCGTGGTTTCTTGACCAGCTCACAAAAGAAGGGAGACTAAATCGCGTGCTTTGCCGAACTGCACACCTGTTCTAAACTAGGAACAACCACAGGTGTGTAACCATCCTCCTCCTTCTTTAAGCTGTTGTTCCACTGTCTTCCAGGTCCCTGTTGCCTGTACGTCTCACTTCTCTGCCTTTATTCTTTTGAGATAGTCAGAAGTTTGTCTGTGTTGTGTTCAGACTCAGTTCTGTTGATACTTAACCTGCTTGGAGTTCTTAGATCTCTAGGAGAGTATCTTCCCTCAAATTTGGAATATCTTGGCTTTTATTTCTTCAAAATTCTTTTCTGTCGTCTTAATTTTTTCCCCTGGAACTCCCAGTTACATGTACATTCCACCTTTTTTTCAGACTAGGTAATTTCTAGTGACTGATCCTCAAGTTCCCCAACCACATCTCCAGGCAGCTGCGAAGCAAGCCCCTTCTGTGAAATTTTCACGTATTCTGAAGTTGTTGGGTTTTCACTTAGGTCTCTATGGTTTCTAATTCTTGGCTGAGCTTCCCTGTTGCCCCTTGTGCAACCATATTTTCCCATTTTTCTTTCATCCTGTCTGTGAAAGCTGTTTGATATCTTTGTCAAGTCTAACATCTGTGCTGTCTCAGGCTCATCTCAGGTTGCCTTTTCCCCCAACTGAAGGTCATACTTCCTGTTTCTCTGTGTGTTTAGTGATTGTTGATCAAGTGCTGGCTATTGTGCCTGACGTGCTGGTTGACTCTGGATTTTGTCTTCCTCTGAGGAGCGTTGTTCATGTTTCATCAGGAAGTCCTGCCACTTGGCTGGTTTTCACTTTGGTGTTGGAAAGGGTCTGTAGGAAGCTCACGGGGTCTCAGAAGCCCCTCTGACCTAGCAGACTCACCTGCAAGCTCTGCCTTCCCCGCCAGGTTGGTTTTAGGTTTTTGGAGGGTGAGAGGGTGGGTCTTGACTCCTGGGTGCCAGGAGAGTGGAGGGTTGTGGCTCACCACAGAAGTACTGCACTGTAGCGCTTCCCTGGCCTGCCGCCTCCCTGTAGCTCCTTTACTCTCAGTTCCGGAAGAAACTGTGTATTTGATACTGATGACTAGTTTCTATGCTGACATCGGTTTTGTCATTTTGTTTTTCTGAATCTCACTCTACCAGACTTTTTTGGAATGGTTCATGGAGACACCGTTCCCCAAGTTGTCGCATCTTGAAAACTGCCTTTTCCATTTGAAGGTCAGTCTGACAGCCATAAATTCTTGGCTCACATTTCTCCTTGAGAACCTTACATGTGTCACTCCAGATATGGTTTCTAGGAGAAAGTGCTGTCCAGGTTTGATGATACTGCATTTCTCATGTGTATCATGTTCTTTTTCCCAAAGATACCCAGAGAATTCTTTTCTTTAAGCCTTTCGTTTACGTGGAGTTGGTTACACTGGATTGGCCTTTTCAGTGTAGCTATGTCCTTTTAGCATGCAGCATCAGATCTTACTTCATTCAGAAACACTTTCTTTAATGGTGCCTTTCTATTTTGTTTTCCTTTTCAGAGATTCCCATTACTCTATCTTGTACCTTCTTTGTTTGAATATTTTCAATCTATCTTTTTTATTTAAGTTATACTTTTCATTTTTTCACCTTTGTAATTTCTTCTTAAGGTGTTATTTGTTGTGCTTCTTTGCTCTTGTGTTCTTTTTAGTTTAGTCTTCATTTCTCAAATGAAATTTTGTTTCTAATTTCTAATTCTTGGTTTTGTCGCCTCATCTCTAAGTTTTGTCAGTTCTGATTTTTGTTGTTTCATGCTTGTCATTATTTCCTTAATGTCTTTGTTTGTTTGAATTAGCACGTTACAGTTTTCATCTGTTTTTTGTCGTCTGTAGGGATGTTACCTTGCTCCTTTTTCTCCTTGTCCCTGTCGTGTCTTGTATGGGATTTGATGCCGATGCTTTCAGTTGCTCACTTTTGTCAATTTGTTTTCTTGAACTTTTAAGAGGCAGTGTGGTTTGAGGGAAGTTTGTGACTTGATTGGGTTGTTTCCATGGTGATACAAGTGTGGGTGCTCATGTTCTGAGAGTCCATCCTATCTTTCTGCACCTTTCTCTGTTCCCACTGCCCGCTCCTGCTCAGCTTGATTTCCTGACCGGGAGCCTGGCCAGTCCTGTAAGGCTTCCCAGCACTGGGCTGCTGTGTGAGGAAACAGAGCCTCCCAGGTTTAGCTCCTGCTCTTGAACGAGCCATTGCTCTTCCAGTGAAGGCCTGCTGGCCCCTGGGTTGCAGACTTGGTGGTGCTGGTGGCCTTTTTCCAACTTGCCCTGCACCGTTTGACAATACCATTGAGGCGTGTGACTGCTGTGGGTCACCTTCACTGGCTTTGTTCTCAAGAGTGTCTGCTGGCGGTTCCAGGTTTTATATGCTACTAGAGGCCCGGTGCACTGATTCGTGCACCGGTGGGTTCCCTCGTCTGGCCTGTGCCCTCTTGCAATCCGGGACCCCTAGGGGGATGTCAGAGGCCTGGGGCACGGATTTGGCCCAATTCCTGCAGGCCAGGCCGAGGGACCCCACCAGTGCATGAATCTGTGCACTGGACCTCTAGTATGCATATAAGATCTTTGGTTAATCTCTTCCCGCCCTGCCCCTTCTCCCTTTCCCTCTAAGATTCATCAGTCTGTTCCATGTTTCCATGCCTGTGCGTTGAGCATCTGCCCCCTGGTGGTCAGTGCGTGTCATAGCTACCGGTCAAACGGTCGAATGGTGGCTTAGGCTTTTATCTATATAGATGGGCCCTTGACAAGATGCTAAAAATGCTGCTGCACCTGTTATCATCTCCCTTGGATATGTTGATGAATTTCTTTCAAAGTGTTTTTATTTTAAAATAGTTTCAAACCTACAGAAGAATTATAGGCCTAGTACAAAGAACACCCTTCATTCAGATTTTCCATTCTGAACACTTATCACATTTTCTTCTTTGCCCTGTCTCCCCCACCCCCATGTCTGTGTGTATGTGCATTTGTGTATTATATATATAGCATTGCACACTCACAGAATGGGGCAGAAGTAGGTTTATAGTTGTGAGTACACGAAACACAGAGTTTCTTCTTTTATTATTGTATTGTTCTCCATTGTTCTCCATATACACCCACACAATGTTTCTGATAGGCTGTTCTGTCATCCCCACGTGCATCAATGCTGCCTATCCAACCTTGTCATGGGGGAGTCAGCACGGATCCGGCCACCGGCCAGTCCTCAGACTGGTCACATTTTGCAAGCTGTCCTGGCAGCATTTTTCTCCTTCTCTTTGGTCCAGTTCACGTACCTTGTTAGTCTCTTCTGAGTGTCCCTCTGTGGGACAGGGTTAGAGGTCAGGCCTTGGGCTCAGGATCACTGGTTCTCTGCTGTGGTCATCAGTCAGTAGGCCCCCATGCTGACCTGGTGACCTCGATGCCATCTGGTTCAGCTGGCGTCTGCCAGGTCACTCCTGTGTACATTCATGCGCCCTCAGAGAGATCAGTCCTTAGTGAGGAGATGTTGCAGGCTGTGCAGACCTCCTTCCCACCAGACCTCTAGCTTAGCACCCTCACAGCTGACACCTGCACGCCGACACCATAGGTGCCAATTGGGGTTGTCTGTTGTCACGCCTTCTCCATCATTAGCTTCTCTCCTGTAAGAAGAGCTTCGCCTTCTCCCTCATCCCTTCATCCGCATCTGTTCACCATGCGCGCGGACTGGCAGATCCCTGTTGCTCTCAGTGGGTGGTAATCAATCCTCTCGTTATTTCTAGATGGTCAGTGGAGGCTTCTTCAAGCTGCTCTCTATATCCTTTTGAAATGTCGCCTTATTCCTCAGGCGTCCCATTTCTACTGGCGCAAGGGCTCCGGGCACCCCGCCAGCAGCTGGTCCAGAGCCCTGGTTCCTTTCAGGGTGGCGCCTGTGCATACGTGTGTGAGCGTATGTGCATGCTGAGTGTTGTGCGTGTGCCTGCATGTGCTTACGTGTGTGTGTACTGTGTGTCGTGTGTGCATGTGTGCAAGCGTGTGTGCGTTCATGGGCGTATCGTGTGTGTGTGTGTGTGTGCTGTGTGTCACGCGTG